TTCACGTGTATAACCTAAAGAAGTGTCTATCCGATGAGACACTTGTGACACCACTTGAAAAAATCGAGTTAAATGACAACTTGCATTTCGTGGAAGAACCCATAGAGATTACGGGTTGAGAAGTCAAACGAACGAAACAAAGTCGTATCCCAATAGTGAAGGTTCGTTGGAATGCAAAGCAAGGACCTGGATTCACTTGGGAGCGAGAGGATCAAATGAACCATAAGTATCCACATCTCTTTCCCTATTCCAGTTGTATCTCTATGGTCTTAATTTCGGGACAAAATTCCCTTTGACGGGGGGAATGATGTGACAACCCGTAAATTTCCAAGCTTGTAAAAGTCAAACTTGTTGTTTTGCTTTGTCTTATAAAGTTTATATTTAAAATATATACGTGTCTAAACCTTCTATTAAAATTGTTACAAAAATTAGAAGTAAAATGCAAAAATTTGAGAAGTCTCGCTAGGACCGAAAAACCCGTATCGGACCGAAAACTCCCTTCGGACCGTAAACCCACTTCTGGCCGCAAACGTCTGAAGCCGCAAACCGTTTCCAGCCGAAACCCTCGCTCCTATCCATTTGGCTCACAAACCCATGCATGTGTCACTTCACGTTTATATCTTGCTATAAATAGCTTGGACTGAAAACGTGCTCTCATTTTTACACTCTCCAACCGAAAATTCACTTTCTTCTCTCAAGATCATCAACCAAAAACCCATTTTCTCTCTCAAGTATCATACGAAAAACACTTATATCTCTTTAAGATCATACCGAATTCTTCAAGTGTTCTTCATCATTTGATGAAATCATCATCCATCATCCAAAAATCCAATCGAAAATGCACACATCTTCTTAGTTTCACCAAGAACAGCAAGAACACACCACTTGAATCTTCATGTGGCCGAAAACCCAAGGTTGGTCGAAAATTCCAAACAACCTTACGAATTCACTTCTAACACTCTTATTTGTAAGTAAATCTTACATATTAGGCTATTTCCTTAACATACTTGCAAATATATTCACTAATTATATACCCGAATATTGCGTGAAATGTTATTAGGACTCGGTTTTGTTACGAGAATCTAGCTTGTGGAATAACATCCTTTATCAAACCTTCAATCGAATCACTCACATAAGGTGAGTTCATACCCCTACATGTTACCATTTTATAATGTTTTTAAGGGGAGAATACAAGTAAAACACAATATAATTGTGTTAACACTTAGATACAAATGCAATCAATCAAAGAAATCACATGCTTTTATCAATATTGTTAAAACCATTTCAAAATGTTTTTCAACTAATTAGATTACTGTTTTTATCAAAATCATATTCATTTGTATATTTATGTATAATTAGGATTTAATAGACTTAGGACTATTGTTATTGCCTTAACTCCTATTCCTTGTTTGGTTGTGGGCTTTGGGTATGATCACCAGTCCGACTGTCAGCTAAATCATAATTATACATGTTAAATATATACATGAGTATTAAAACTCATTTCTATATGCTGAGCAAATGGGTCTTTTCTCCAATTCATTTATAGTACAAACAAACATACTAGTAAACTATAATAGGTATAGTTTAGAGATCAAGTCACACTATTTTCTAATTCAAAGAAACATTTCATAAATCAACTAATGCATACTATTACTTTTCATTACAAAGTACACTACTCATTTTCAAGAACAATAAACACATAAATATTATAAGTAAACAAGTTAATACTAGAATGTGAAATACTACTTCATGGTTCTTAGCAAAATTCTTTCTAAGTCATATTTTATAACCAGAGTCTCCTGGAGGGAGAGCATGAGTTTTTGTATAGATATATACGGGACTAACAATCCCGCACCTTGGTTGTTAGCTACAGTTGGGAGCGGCGGGTATACGGGCGACAAATGTCATAACTTTTTCAATGCCTGAAGACCGTCATGTTATATACTAGTTAATTTAGTATGGTTATAACCTCATTCACATTAAGCATTAACTAAACAATTCGGTTTACAAGACAAATAGTGCTTCAGTGGTTTTATTTTAAGAAATACTACTGAATATCTTTATTTTCCATTATATACATACTGCCATATATATGCAAGAGCAGTATACTGTTTTTCTAACACTACTAGAAAAATAGCCTTTTACGACGCTCATTGCGCGTCGTAAAAGGCTCAGACGACGCGCAAATGCGCGTCAAGAAAGGCCATGTCATAAAGAGAGACGACGCGCTTTTGCGCGTCATCTATAGACGACGCGCATTTACGACGCCCAATTACGACGCTCTTTTACGACACGCAATGCGTATCAAGGAAGGCCCTATCATAAAGGAAGACGACACGCATTCGCGTGTCGTAACCTTACGATGCGCGTGTTAATGACACGCTACGCGTATCAAAAAAGCCCCTATCAAGAAAGGCCATGTCATAAATGAAGATGACACACTTTTTTGCGTGTCATAATTTTAAAGTTTTAAAAAAAATATATATTTTTTTTATAGAATTACTAATTTTCAAATTAAAAAACATATTGAAATTATGATAATACCAAATAAAATTCCATACATAAGAATAATAATTCATTTCAAAAAAATATCACATGTCAAGAAAGTTACCTAACATTACATGTCAAACAACACTACATGTCAACACTAATAACACTTAAAAACATGTTTTTTCCTACATTTGGACCACCTACTATTCCTATTTCAGCAACCAACTTTAGGTCCAATGCTATCCACCTGTAAAAGAACAACATTAGAAGATCAACATTTTCTTGATTTGATGATTCAACATTAGTTTCCCTTTGACCTATTCCTGTTAAAAAGATACATAAGAAGAATATTATTTTATCTACTCGAGGACAACTTATGATGATAACACCATTATTAAAATGAAGTTACAACATCAGTTATTTACATAAAAAAATAAAGTTTCAAAAACTCTGAAAATTTGAAATCATGATAAAAAAAGGAATATTATTTTACAAACATACCTTGTTATAGTTTATCATTACTTCCAGCTTTCATGGCAAAAAGTTCACTGGTATCTTTTAATTCAACCAAATGAACACTACAACCAAGCAATTTCAGTTATTCATGGTGAGAGCCTTTGGAAAATAGAAACCGAAACTATATTCTCCTGTATCAATTATTTTGCAATGATAGGATGAAATTAATTTGGGAAAATACTAAACAAATTTAGAAAATTACAAGAAACGTTAACCATAAAAAACAAACAGACAATAGTGTATATTTATCTATTTAGCACCGACTCTAGAGTCTAGGCAACATAATTTACAACAGCTGTCAAATACACAGTCATTTGTTATTCAGCATTTTTTTATAAATAAAAGGGTAAAATGGTCATTTACTTACAGTTTATTCATACCAAAAAAGAAACAGACTTGTGTAATGTATACAACACTTACTACAAACAGACATCATTTACCCATTCTGAACAAACTCTAGACATATTAAATTAATAGTCAATTGTTAAATGTTATTCAACATTGCTTTTAAAGAAAAGGATAAAATGGTAATTTAATCACATAATTCATTCAGACCAAAAAAGAAAGACTTTATGTATACAGCACATACTACAAACATACATCATTTACCCATTTAGAACTTTACCCTAGACAGATCAAATAAACAATCACTGTTATTCTACCTTGTTTCTAAACAGAAGGGTACAATGGTCATTTACTCAGAAGTCATTCAGACCATAAAAGAAAGACTTTATGTATAGACAGACATCATTTACCCATTCAGAACTTACTCAAGAGTCGAGACAGATCAAACAAACAGTTAATTGTACACCAAGTCAAACCTACTCACTTGTTTTCTTGGATGTTGAATCTGAAACCCAATTACCAAATCTTAAAAATATTAAATTAAAAAGAGTTTTTCATGAAAAAAGTTTATTTGACTGATTAATGTGAGGAGAAAGGTTCGAGTTGACTCACCTGAACAACAATACATTTTCAGATGCTAATTTTTTACAGAGTTAGCAATTGATATAGTATCTCTACCACATGCAACCATCAATAAGGCCTATCCCTAACAAAAAAAAATGATTAATGATAAAAGAAATGCAAATTTAGGTAGAAGTAAGTTGCTATTCTTAAAAATTAATGGTAAAAATCTATAAGAAAGGCTTACTTCTCAGTAGTTCCTCTTGCCATTGTTACTACTGACTTAACATAAGCTTCAATTATAGATGATAAGCCAACACTTACACCATTTTCTGTGGTCAAAGCATTTGACTTTACTCCATTTAGTTGTAAATAGATTAAACACTTCATGCGTAGCCCATCAGTTTAGGATGAATTACAGTTATTTTGGTGCTACTGTTAGATTAAACACTTCATACGTAGCCCATCAGTTTAGGGTTCCACTGATCTCGATAACTGGGCTCAATCACCATGGACAACCAATTATATTCGGTTTTGGATTGCTTTGAATCCGATTGTTCTTACATTTGGCTACTCCAAAATTGGCTCCATGCAATGTCAGAAAACCAACCTGTCTCCATCACAACCGAACCTAATCATCACATTCAAATGGCTGTTTCACAGGGTTTTCCCCAAACCCATCATTGATTCTGTAAATGGAGAAAGAGAAAGAGAACATAATTAGCTTAGCTATGACATCAACAAAATCTAAACCTTTCATAAAAAAACTCATAAATCTTACTCAATAAAATAGATTTTCCATTGAACTTAGCTATTATACGATGTCTAAAATAACAAAAAATTTCACTTGGGACTTTCAAAAAACACCTGGATGGCATCCAGATTGGGACATCTTCCTTCTATTTATATGTACTCAGACAGGGTAACTTACAACCGATTCAAAAAAGAAACACAATAAAAATAGATGATCAATACTAACAAATAGAAAAAACAAAGATGCAAATATATATTTACCAAGAAAAGAGGTGAACCGAGTTGGTAAGTGTGTCACAGGGAGCTGCGATGGATTAAAATGAAGAGATGGATTCTTCAGTCGTTGAAGAGGTGAACTCAAATCAGAGATGGATGCAAAATATAACTAAAACCGAGTTGGTATTTGCAATCCCATCACTACCCCTTATAACAGCCCAAACCTGTAAAACAAACACACCCACTAAGCAAAATATAATTATGCAAAAAAGTTTGAAGCATTTCAATCCTAATCAAAAGATACTTTTGGAGTCCAGAAACTATCATAATTTTTTTTATATTTGAATAAAACTTCAACTTTTAACAAACTAGCAATGTACCTGAATCAAACCAAACATCCATTGTATCAGTTCCTTTCACATAATCTGATGCTTTATCACGATATTTCTCAGGAAGCAATTCTTCTACTTTCATATACCACCATGCATCACTACCCTTTTGGGAAATAATTGCTACAAAAAAAATACAATCATCAAATGTTAAATTCCATATACATAAGTAAACTCTTTTCCTCTCCTTTTCATGTAACTTTATAAATCTAGAAAGTAATCAAGGTTTATATTACATCCTTACTTTTGATATGATCAATAGTGTCTTCATTTAGCAGATGCCCTTTACTCTTAACAGGTTGCAACAACACATCCCACAACCACCCTTGCACGGTGGCCTATGGTGAGCCTGGGAGGAGCACCAACGATAATGACGTGGTGATTATTCTTAATATAACAAACACACACAACACAACAAAATCCATAATCAAAGGGGCTGCATAAATCACCACACACATCCATATTTGGATGCCAAGGTATAGTTTCATATTTTCACTCTTTAAATATAAATAAATTCACATATCTTTTTTTTATATTTGTTGCAGGGTGATGTGGATATCTTTTTTTTTTTTTAATATTTGTTGCAGGGTGATGCCAAGGTACAGTTCCGGGTATATGTAGCTTCATACATCGGTGTTTATGGAAGAGTTTGGTTTGACCAAAAAGACAAAGACAAAAGATGGATATAACCCTTTTCTCAAAGACATTGTAAATAGTAAATTTTACCTTAGTGTTCCGACACATAACACCAAATAAACACTTCAATAGAAAGAAAGAAAAACTTGAAGAAATAGTGCATTTTAGAGCTTTTCACTGTTGTATTGTAGAGTTACGTGCATTTTTATGTAATAAATATCAACATATACTTTCATCTATTTTTTTTCCTTTTTTAAAATTCAGGGGTGTATTTTTTTTATTTACATGAAACTAATAAAGAGATCCACCGAGACCTCACCTCACCTTCTGCGACACTGAAAACTAAGAGGTTGATGAGAGGGGTTGAGTATACACAACTGAAATACAACAAAAGTGTAAATAACAAGTGATAAGTACTGAAATACCATTTCAACTGGGCATTGAACCTAAATCATTAGAAAAAACACAGAAATATAATTCAAATAACAATTTATAACCTGATTACACCTCGCCAGTCTGCTTTAATACCAATCTGGAATAATAATATTTAATCAGAAAAAAACACAGAATAAGATAAAATCATAATTCATAAATATATAATATAGAAATATAATACAAATAACAATTTATAACCTGATTAGATTCTTCTTTAGCCTTTGGACTGGAGAATATGTTGACTAAAGACTGCTGAACCTATTCAGTTAAATTATTGAGACTACTAAATCCAAATTCCTTCTGATAGGTAGGTGATTGGGTACCAGATGTAAACAGGTAAGCTTCACTACACAAAAAAGTTGTCTATTATATTTCAAAATGAAGTTAACTAGCTCATAAAGGAAAGAAATTAAAAGAGATTTTTGTAAATTTTGTATATGAAGTTAATAACCCTGCTTCAATAACATGCCAAATAGAGTTTCTGATTTGGTTGTCAAACCGATAGCAACAACAAAGAATGATGTCAAACTTAATAACTAATGGTATCCTTATTAACACAAAATACATTTCACCATCTTTGATAAGATTGTTAACAAGTTGACTTGCTGCTAACAAGCCATCACTAATAAACATTGATTTATTGGTAAAATTGAACCTAAATTCCAAGTATTATAGTTCAATTATCTTTTTCTCAAGTCCTTTTGTTGCATATAGATAGACAATGTAGCAAAATTGGTCTCATCTTGGTAAAAACCTAATAGATACATTATGTCGAGCACCTTGTGGGCGCAGTAGCTGACCTAACAGAAACATTGCGTTGAGCACCTTGTGGGCGTCAATAACTTATTCGTGTTCATGGAAACAACCCTCCAAAGTAGCTTTACGACTAGACAAAGAATTTGACTCAAGAAATTAGAGGAAATACCACTCAAATCATGTCTTCTAAGGGAACAGGGAGTATAAAGGGATTATCTAAGGTGAGAATCTTTTTTATTGTGATTGTGGACAATAATACATGGAACAATACATATATTGCTACAGTGGGAAGGGCAATATCGTCATATGAGGATAAAGCTTATGAGATTATGAGTTCAACACAAAAATGGAAAGTATGCAGCTACGAAAGAGCCTCATCTGTAAAATTCCACACAATCATGGATGCCAAATACACCAGGAGCCGAACCCAAGAACCTTAAGCTAATTACGTGAGATATTTAACATGAGGAGTTCAATTTATTTATTAATCACCCAACAAAAATAGATAGGGATCATTTTTGAAAAAGATATAAGATAAAAGAAATGGAGACATCGCCATGGAGGGTAATAGTTTTAGAGAGAGAGAGAGAGAGAGAGAGATGTTGCCATGAAAACTCACTCGACTAAAACAACCAAAATCTAATTTTTATCATGAGAAAACCAGTAAGCTTTGGGATTTTTTAGAAATTATGGAGGAGTGAGGATAGAAGAACGAAAACATTAGGAAGAGAGAAAAAAAACAAAACATACCTTAGTCAAACTAGGGCATGTAAATTTGAGCAATCGTCATAGTCTCTGACGAGGTTAGATGACAGGGTCTCCGACGAGGAGAAGTGAGCACGAGGTCACCTGAGGAGAGGTGACCGAAGAGGTTGTCGAATGAATGAGGCGAGACAAGGTGAATCTTCGACTGTTGCTACATCCGGCCTATGAATGCTTTGATGTCTTCCCTTAATAGTTGGTGTGGGATGAGTCGAATAGAGTTCTTGTATGCCAAAACCTTAAATGGATGTGAGATTGAAGAAGAAAAGCGTACGTGAAGGAAGTGTTTTTGAAACTCTTGATGAAAATCACGATTATATGTAAGTGGGAAATAAAAGCCCTAGTTGTTGGCCGCCATTCTGTGATCTTCAGGAATAAACGCCACTTTTTAAGAAAAAATTATAGAACGATTATATGAGTTGTCGAGGTTTATAGCAGAGACAGTATCGTGGTTAGGGTTTGCAGAGAGAAGGGAAGAATAAAACGAAGGGAGAAGGGAGATCTTGAAGCGGGGTATTTAAAAATTTTAGAATTTTAAGAGGATTTCATTTCCCCCTTATAAGAGCGCGTGTTTTGAGTAAAAATTATAAAGCGACATTCACAGAGGACGTGCAGTTTAGATAAAGCGCCCTCCGTGTTTTTACTTTTTTTTTACATGAGACACTAATTTATGGGCGCGCAATAATGCGTGACCTAAATCCTTAAATTTTTTGAATAGATGACACTTTTTTAATGTCACTCTCTTTTGCGTAACATAAATCAACGAGTGTCGTATTTTGCGCGTCGTAAAAGGTTATTTTTCTTGTAGTGTAATAAAAATAGTCTACAATTATGGAAAACATACATTTACACTAGTTCAAATTACAAACATACATTTACACTATTTCAAAGTACAAACATACATTTACGTAATTTCAAAGTACAAACATACATTTACACTATTTCAGAGTACATAACCTACAAACATTTGGGTCTTAAGGTCGAAGACTACTTTTCATTTAATGTAGAAAATATGGGATTTTCTAGGAGAAATACTAACACTTTCACGGAACAAATACAAAAGTTAAATACTAAATGCTTATGAACGCACCAACATAAATGTTGAAACTTTATTTCCAAAATAACTTGTATTCTCAGGAAACCAGTAGACAGGTACACTCCCACAGGTTTTGAGAAGATGGTACATGTTAAAGACTCATCTTTTATTTTGATATATATATATATATATATATATATATATATATATATATTATGGTGTCATACAAACTCTACAAAGAACACACATGTATTAACTATTCTATTAATGCAATGGATGTTGTTGCTTGTTTTACTATTTATTCATTATTGTGATACTATACATGACGTCCTCCACCCCCGAATCTTTCCGCCATCTCAGTTTGGGGGTGTGACAGAGTACCGTTAGAAATGAACGTTTCATGAGGTGCAAGTGGAGTATGTACCGGTTTTGAGTCAAGTAAACTTACTCGATGCAAAATATTGTAAGCATACTTAGACTGACTGAGAAACAAACCTCCATCTATATAGGAAACTTCAAGACCCAAAAAATAATTGTACTTACCAAGATCTTTGATAGCAAATTCCTGATGAAGTCAAGCAATAAAGGAGTTAATGAGATGTTCCTGATTACCAGTCAAAATAAGATCATCAACATACACCAAAAGATACATGATGCATGAGTCACGTTTGAAAACAAATAAGGAGGTATCAAATCGACTACAAACAAAACCATCATGTATGAGAATGGTACTGAGATGGTGAAACCATGATTTTAGTGCTTTTTTGAGACCATACAATGCCTTTTTAAGCTGACAAACGTGATCAGGGAATGTGGGATTGACAAAACCTATTGGTTGTCCCATAGAAATAGTTTCACTAAGATGTCCATGCAGAAATGAATTTTTGACATCAATTTGATGAGGCTTCCATTGGTCAATGACAGCAAGCGACAAAATAATACATATTGTAGATGCTTTGACAACCAAACTAAAGGTGTGTGATTAATCTAATCCAAGTAGCTAAGTGAAACCTTGAGCAACGAGACGCACTTTGTTACGCTCAATAGTACCATCAGAGTTGTACTTGGTCTGAAAAACCCATTTGGAACCGACCACATTTGAGTGATTAGGTCAAGGTACCAAGGACCATGTGTTGTTATATTGAATGGCCATCATTTCATCTTGCATTACAGACATCCATTATGGATGTTTTGAAGCATTTAAAACCCTTTGGATCACGAGTATCAAATAGTGCAAAACACAAGCTATTAGCATTAAGAAACGCAAGATCAGCTTGATGGTTTAGTTTGAAAATTCTAGCTTTCGATCTAGTAGTCTTCGGATGAACGTTTGGTGATGATGAGCTTGAAACTTTTTGAATTAGCACAGAAGTAGTACGAACAGGTTGAGTGGAAGAATCAAAATGATGTTGTCGGGTCGGTTAAGAAGGAGACGAAAACACAGTTTGGGCCGGTGACGAATCAAAACTTTGTTGGGATGGAACTATAGATGAATTAGCATCAGATGTGGGTTCAGTCATGTCATGATGGTTATGGACCGGTTGTGGCGATCCGATAGGCTCATTAGTTGAGCCAGTAGATGGTGCAGAGCAAGGTGGACAGAAAAATTTTGTAGTTTCTGGGATAGAGGTTTCAACACTGGGTTCTGTAGCACTTGCGTTAGGTGTAGCCATATCTTCCAAAAATTGCAGATCTGTAGAAGAATTAATTCTAGAAAAAGGAAGGTTTTGTTAAATATGCATCTGACTAAGTCAGGTCAACTATTTTTGGTTGACTCGATCAGCTAAAGCTGTTTGATAAAACAATTTCGGACGTCTGACTCGGAATAGAAAATCTAACTCGGTAAGAAGACTGGAATTGTGTGACAACCCAATAATTTTTACATTATAAAGTCCAACCATTCAACTCAACTGAGTGTCAGACTCATTTCTAATGAGTTCTAGCCTTGTTAAAGGCCATTCTAAGGAGTTTTATCCTAGTACACTTAAGGAATGAGTGTTAGGAAGTACCTGCTAGAGACAATGTGCAACATTCAAGCCTTAAGACCACCAAAAAGGAGTTCACAACCAAGACACTTGATTTTACGGCCATAAACTCAAGGCTGGCCGTAAACTCCCCCTTAAAGACTCATTCCCTCCATTTTCCTTTCATTATTACCTTTCCAACTCAAGAAACCCTTCAAACTCTCTCAAGTATCATCGGGTTCTTCATCTAGATCTTCATATATGTAAGTGTTCTAGCCTTTGATTAGTTGATATCCTTCATTAACTAGTATCATTCCATTATTTCATCCATGAAATCATTCCATTTTGTTAGATCACCAAGAACACACACTAGTGTTTTTGGACCGAAATCGACCCTTTCAAGCCTCTATATCATAAGTACTCTCTCCTTGGCTTGTTGTATGTTTGAAACACTTGAGTTACACCTTGAATTCGTCCAATTCTCAAGAACAAAAGGAGTTTACGACCAAGAGCATCTCCCTTGGCCGTAAACCCCTATAAATGTGCCATATTAGCTGAAAACCCTTCTTAAAGTCCAAGCCTTTGACCCTAAACCCTTAATGGATGTTGTAGGATCTTAAAACACACACATATGCACGTTTAACCATGATTTTACAGCCGTAAAATCCCTTGGCCGTAAACCCATGGTCGTAAACTCATGGTAGTGCCATTCCACTCCCTTATAGTGAATCACATGTGATTCCAACACTTGGTCAAAGTGTTTCCTAGTCCCGTGAGGTGTTTTCTTGCATTTGGTTGCTTCTAAAAACTATATTTATGTCAATATATGCCAATATATGTCATTAGGACCCATTTGTGTATCGGGACTTCATTCGTGGAACTCCTCATCCTTACGCACACATTTGTTTGAATCACCCGCATCAGGTGAGTTCATACCCATAATGAATCTTTTAACTGTTTTAAATGCTTTTAGGGGGAGAATACAAGTTGAACACAATGATAATTGTGTAAATGTTTGTTATAAACATCTTTCAAAAGATTGCTTATGTCTTTTATAAGTGATCAAAACATTTCAAAAACTCTTTTAAAGTTATGTTGCTTTATAGTTTAACAAAACTTCGTTTTTAAAGTACAAGCATAACTTAGTAGATAAATGAGTCTTTTCAATAACAGTTCAAGTAAAATACTAGTAAACTATAAGTGGTATAGTTTAGGTGTTCAGTTCATACAAAGATACTATAACAGAAAGAACATACTAAGATACTATAACAGAACAAACACACTAAGATGCTATAGCATGGAACAATTACAGGATCTAATTATACCAATGAATCACTAACTCATTGTTCTAAACAAAAGGTGATAGTTAAATTGAGTATACATGATCACATAACTTTAAGTGGATTACACGGCCTAGCAACTAGTTTGCAGAAGTCGCGTTTGGTTCCCAGAATCTCTTGACAGGGAGAGTGTATAGTATGGGTACTAGCCTTCACATTATGACCTTAATAAAACAAACATGTTTTAAGGAAATCAGTATGCCAGGATGTTAATTTAAAAGACAACTGAGTACTTTTATTTTCCCATTACTTTCATATAGTGGCAGTTCCACTTGAAAGTTAATGCAAACTATTTTCGAGTCAATATTGTTATAAACTAGGGAAAACTTACATTTTACAAACGACAATTAGAACAGTCGATTCTAGTACATTCAGTAGAAAGGGACCATAATGCTAACCTTATGATTCCTTAATGTATACATCAAGGGATATATACTAATAGGATCCGACAAGTAATAGGATGTGTGCTTTCCGCTTCATTTCCTGTTCCTTGTTTGGCTGTGGGCTTAGAGCGGATTCACCCAGCCTATTAGCCATTCGCTCTTAGTTATATATATATATATATATATATATATATATATATATATATATATATATATATATATATATATGTTCCGTATACATTAAGTCATCATAAGGGGTAGCAGGTATGGGTCTGGTCATAGGACACTAATTCAATGCACATTTTTCTAGTACAAAACATACTTTTCAAATAGAACATTTGGTGTACAAAACTAGAAACTTACCAGTAAAGGGTTTAATTCATTTTATTAAACCAAGTATAAACTTAAAAGATCTTATGTGGTTAACTCTATAATACCTTAGTTTATACATCAGGGTTATATATAATTAATACCCAATAGGTAGTTGGATGTGTGCTTTCCGCCTCATTTCCCTATTCCTTGTTTGGTTGTGGGCTTAGGGCAGATCCACACAAATAACTATCTGTTCGATATTAGATTATATATATAGCTAGTATGAATTAAGTGATTATAGAAGCAACCACTGTGGTTACTATTTTATTATAAGAAATAAGGGTTTTCTACAAGAATATTTTCATCAAATATAAAGGAACTATTATAGTTAACTCTGTGAGTACCAAGTGAATACGCCAGGGTTATATACAATGATGACCTAACAACCAATTGGATGTGTGCCTTCCGCCTCATTCCTTGTTCCTTGTTTGGTTGTGGGCTTAGGGCAGATACACAAAATCAGTTGTTTGTTTACTCTGAGTTTTATATAACTTGTATCCATTTAGTACTCATAGCTAGGACTGTAGAGTCATTTTTACTTATCTTTCATCAAAGCAGGAAATATAGGATTTTCTGGAGGAACATGCGAACTTTTCTAAACAAAACTTACAATTTACTACAACTTACTAAGCTTTCTACAACTTACTTACATCACTAAAATCTTATGAACTCACCAGCTTAATTGTTGATCAACTCTTTTAAAATAACTTGTATTCTCAGGAAACTAGTAGATAGGTACTCGCGCTGGGAATTCAGAAGATGGATCAGTATAGCTTCAAGTCTTGTTTTTCTATTTACTTATGTACTCTATGTTTTGTGAACACATACTTTGTAAACACTTTCTTCCTAATGAAATGGTTGTTTATTACTTTGATTACTATAACGCATGTCGTGTGATACTAAACATGACGTCCTCCACCCCCGAACGTTTCCGTCGTTTTGGTTTTGGGGTGTGACAGATTGCATGAATGAGAAAGAAATAAGCTTCTTCTAATTTTGCCCATTCCCTATTTCTGCTCTTTCACCGCCTCCACAGCCACACCGATCGATGCCTTCTTTATATTATCAGCAGGTATGCGTTTTTCTTTACAAGTTCTGGTTTTTTTGAAAATGTATGGATTTCGATTTCTATCGATTTCATTTTTGAAAATGTATGGGTTGGATGGATATTGTATTCATTCTTGACGTTAGTATTCACATCGATTTCTATTTCATTCTGTATATCAAGAATCGAGTAAAATAATTGAGCAATAAGTTTAGTGATTCAATTTGTTCTGTCATAATTGAGCAATAAGTTTAGTGATTCAAATCAATTTCATTCATGATTCTCGATCTTTCTCTCTTAGGTATTCAATTTAATTGAGCAATAAGTTTAGTGATTCAATTTGTTTTGTCGTAATTTCTTGAATCAAGAAATTCGTTTCGTTACTGAATCATTAATCGAAAATTTGTTAATCTATAATTCATCTCAACTTGTTCTGATTTCATCCATTCAAGTTTAATCTTGCATTATTTTATATTTTATATTTTGTTTCCTAATGTTGTGTTATGTCATTTTTTATAAGCCGTGTAACAAAACTATTCTCTATTCTTTACGTTTTTAAGTCCATGCTTCAATGTTTAAATTTGTTTTGTTATTGAAAGACTACTAATGGCAATTGACAAGTCATACATGATACTTATATACTAAAATATGAGTAGTTATAAGTATCTTGGTGGAAGGGTTATTATCTAGCATAAAGATTGGCTTGTTGATGGATAGGTTAGTTTTTGGTGTTTTGTTGACTAAAATTTTGTTTATGATGAGTTGGGTCATTATATATCATGACTTGGAGAAGATGGGTAAGATGTTCTTATAGGTGGTGCAGTTGCTCTCAGCTCTCCGTGGGGCCTTTTGGTTAGTCTTTATTATTTATCAAGATTCATCATAAATTGTATTTCAACATTGCAAATTAATATAAGTATGTCACTATTTCTTGCATTTAACCCTTAGAAATATATATATATATATATATATATATATATATATATATATATATATATATATATATATATATATATATATATATATGAGCCTTTTTGTTCATATGTATCACATTTTAACATCAATTGTTAATTTATGTATCTCGTGGTAGATTGGGTCTAGATTCATGGCATAGGATTGTTCAAAAATTCTATGATAGGGCTATATGCACAACTGTATGTACTACTCATTTCTTCACTTTAACAGAACATACACTATACAATGTTTTGGCATTTTTATTGTTTAATGCGATGAAAAAAACTTTCATGTTAATTGTAATTTCTAATTGCATATTGTTAGGTTTTCCTCATCTTCTTACCTTCTTTATAAAATGCAGGCTCTTACCATAATAAGTTTAGTTTTCACTTTTGACCTTATATTCAAATGTGGAGCAACTAGTATAGGTGACTTGATCGCATCATTCATGTTTCCCCTGTTCTTGATTCTTCAATTTCATCCATCACTTGCTTAAATTGATTAATTAATGTGAATTTGGTCAATGAATGAATTGTTTGAATTGTGGAAAACAATGTATAGAGCAGCAGGGTAAAATGGTCATTTTTCATCAGTAAGCACATTCACTCAAATACA